CTGCTCCTCAGCCCTTCTATGACACTGTCCATTTCTGATATCTTGTTTATTTTTCGGATTTCTAATTGTTGTTTTCGTATGATTTCTAGTTGTGAATTTATTTTAGCATTTTGTTCCTGTATTATTTTCCAGAATTCTTGCATTTTTTGGTCTGTATTTTCCATGAATTTGTCTGCCTTTTCCATGAATTTTTCTATTTTTTTCCTCCTTTTTGCCTGCTTTTTGCTTCAACTCCTGCATAGCTCTGAATTTTAGAAATTTGAATTCCCTAACAAGTAGTTTTAGTGCCTTTTCTTCTACTGGAAAGTCATCTGGTGTTTTATTTGGGGGCGCCTACTGGAACCATTTTGTCCTTTTTTTAAATATGTTTTGATATTGTCTGCTGTCTTCGGGACATTCAGTAGTTATTTTCTTCTTTTATTGATTGTAGATTTGTTTGTTTCGTCCTGCTTTTTTGTTTTATTTGGTAATATCTGAGCAGGCAGGCTGTGCATTCTTTGTTGTTTGCTCATCTGTGGGCATGATAATTTTCGCCTCCTTCTCCAATGAGCTGGGCCAGTTGCTCAGCTGTGGTGCAGCAGGGTAGGTCCAGTGGGTGCTCTGTCTCCTGCTAGGAGCTCCCTGAAGCTGCTTTCCTGTACTCCCTGTCTGCCGATGTCCGGTGTGGGTGGGGTGAATCTAAGTGGCACAAAGCTGGCACTTCCTGACCGGCCGAGCCACCACAGCCAGCTAGGGAGTGGTGGAGGCCAAGCAGGGGGAGGATGGATTGGGGGTGGGAAAGCATATATCGCTGGTTACCAGGTGCTCTGTCTCCTGCTGGGAGCTCCGTGAAGCTGTTTTCCTGCACTCCCTGTCTGCCGATCTCCAACAGGAGTCCAAGATGGGGAATCCATGCTGCGTTAGCTGAGGGGACCTCCGTTCATATTTCTCCTCACTCTCTGTTCTCTGTCAGTTTCTTATTTCATTCAGTGCTTGGCTGAGTTCTTTATCTCTTCATTTGACACTTAGGGTTCCAGGACTGACATTTGTCTCTGTTTTACTTAGTTTTTCGGCTCTTTCCTGTGGAAGGATGGCATGGTGCTTCTGTGTCTAGTGCCATGTTGGCTCTGCCTCCTCCAAACACTGGTGTCAATGCAGAGATGTGCAGGGTACCAACTCAAGGATGCAGTTCTCTCCACGAGGAGCTGGAGGCGGCGACAGGGTTTATGATTGCAGCCACAGGTGCACAGGTGAAGACCCAGGCTCAGCATGCTGTTTTTTTTTGTTTTTGTTTTGTTTTCTATTGCAACTGCACTGCAGTTTAACCTTCTTCCTCTGCCCATCCTGCCTCCTTCACTCCCCCACAAGAATATTCCCTGATAACCTTCCTAAGAGCAAATCTCTGTTTCAGAGATTGTTCCATCTGGCTTGTAGTAGGAGCTAACCTGAAACTAGACAGTCGCCTTCAGCTCCACACACAATGTTGCCACAAACATTTTTGTAAATTTCCACCCATGGACTTATTCTAGAAATATTATGGGATATATCTACCCAGGATACTTAATTTCAGTAAGTATTGCCTGACTGTTTCCACCAGGTCTATACCAGTCTAGCTTCCCAGCAGCAGGGGGCCTGCCTCCACACATCCTTGAGATACTTGTTATTATCTGCTTTTCTCCACATATGGCTTCAAGAAAAACTTTCAAGAATAAGTAAGAGTTGAAAGGAAAATCAGTTTTCTGGTCAACCTCAAGTTAATAAAATATCCCCAAAGTTTCTGCTTTCTTGTTGAGGTTTTAATTTTGTTAAGGAGGAAAAAAATCACTGAAACAGAGAATTACCAATATAGGAATTCAAATAACCATAAATACTCACATATCTGATTCTTTGCCCACTTAAGTAACGAATATTGCTTTCCCAACATATAAAATTTTTAGGAACAGTTTGAGTGTGGTAGGTGTATTTATACTAACTCATCCTTGATGTGAAAGCCATAATTGTTAAGGAATAATTTTCTCTAGAAAATGTTTATAAACATG